CACACAGACAACCCCGTGACAATATGCGTTTTGTAACGCTGTTACACAGCACAAAACGCATAATTAACTCTAAAAATGGTAAATTTTGAGGAAGAGTACCACCTTCGGCAGTGAAATGTCAAGTCATTAATCTTGGCTGCCGAAAGCTCAGTGCGCTTGTTAGTCAGCAAAATGATAATGTATGTTCAGAGCTTAAATTTACGAGGAAAATTTTCATAAAAAAGAGCAACGTTTGATTGCGGGATGCAAATTAGGAAATTACTCTTTCACTGATGGCGTCGTTATAGCCGTATCCACTGGCTGTAGCTCCAAATCCATACCCGAAGCTGTCGTAGCGGCTCTGAAAGTACCAATGTGAACTGTAAAAAAACAATCAGCTGATCTATTTGTCGGTAGTGTAAAGAAATCTGGAACTTTTCGAGAATTCCATTTTAAATCAACAAACGAGAGTCTCGACAACTCTTCAGTGGCGCTCCCAGCGGGCTTCCGACCTCTTTTGCGCCCACAGACCAACAGGTACAGACATCTAACCAAAATTACATCTTCCTCCTAATTTTATGTGCAGATAACATTTTTTTCTCACGCTTTAACATTGAATTTTCGACGTCTCGTAACAGTTTTTTGATCCATTAGTAAGGCTTAAGTCAGCATTTGTCCGCTTTTGCACCCTCCCAGCTAAATTCATAACTTCGCTTACTAAAGTTTGCTCGATCCCCCACCTTTCTATAATGCACTTCTTTCACACAATTCAAGCGCGACACTGAAATTCAGTACTGCTCACCCAGAAGGCACAAACAAAGTGCTCCTGTGAGGCGGCGCAGTAAACGCATCGTCCAGTTCCAGGAACATGTTGCTTGCATGTGAACTGCTGAAAAAAAAAAGATGGTGCTCAATTATAAATATGAACTAGTAAGGCAATAAAGATGAAAGGCTTGTAAGAATCGAAAAGAGAAGTCCCTAATGGGTTGCAAAACACAGTTTTCTTAATTTTCTCCATTTCTAGATAAAGCAGTAGTATCGTCGGAGAGGATGAAAGACATCAATGTTATTGAGATGTAGCAGCATATTTTTTCCTGAATAACCACAGTTCATCATAAGGACACATAGGCGGATCCAGGACGGACTCCTGAGAAGAGAGGGAAGAGGGAAGGGGGAGATGGGGCTACAGGGGAGAGTCTCCGCCCACCCTGGAAGTATGCAAAAGCTGGGAATAGAGTTGTAACACTGCTACTCAGAGTTACTTTAGTTTAGAGTTACTTCAGGCTTTAGCTCACTTCAGT